AAAATTTTATGACCGGGAATTTTTTACTGCGCCTGAGTTATATTTTACACACGATTGGAATTGAAAATATATTTGACAAATATTTTCGTTGAATAGTAGCACTGAAATATTTACTGGAATTGTTTCAAGTGTGCAACTGTGGGCAAAGGTAACTGGAATATTGTCAAGCACAAGTAACGGAATTGAAATACATATATTAAATGCCGTTGCGTCGGATTAATCTCTTTTGGATTTAGACAATATATCATACAGAAAGTTAGTCGAAATAGGGTTCGAAAAACTGGCTGTATGACCGGCAATTATAGTAAGCGGAACTTATCTGGAGTGCTTCAAGCCTGCTGGGACAAAATCAAAGGAAACTCCAGGAGAGGAAAATCCAAAGATTTTGAAATCCGGCTCGAAGGACCAAAATGATGGGGCGGTGCGGCTTGATCGATTAAATAGTTGAAGCCCCAATATCGAGTGGTACCCAAAAAACACGGGAGTACTTTTGGGGTTTTTACGCGACGTGCGTAGGTGTTTATTCGTACACTTTGAAACATGAACTGCTTAAGCCTAACTTAACTTAAGCGCTCCAGAGCAGAGCGGAGACTTAAGGGAGACATGGAGAGGGAGAGCGGACGGCAGTGCGAGCGCGCGAGATGTAGACATCTGGATAAAACTGCCGCTCGACACTGCCTCCTGAAATTAAACGCCCTTTTGACGTAAACAACTCCGAACAATTAGATATCAGAAAGTCATTCAGGCTCTTGGACCACTGTAGCGTCTTTCAGGCGGAGGTCCACGCTATAAAAGAAGCACTAACCTGTTTAGGGAACTTTAGCCTCCAAAGAGGACACCTAAACATATATAGTGACAGCCAAGCTGCTATTTAATAGCAATAGCAGACTGTTGAAGATCTCTCCACGAGATGGCAAATCAGTTTATTATCAGCCTTATATGGGTTCCGGGACATCGTAGGCAACTGCATAGCGGACGAATAGCATAAAAATTGTGGGCGTCACAGGTTTTCGCGGTTTGTGGGCGTTAGAGTGGGCGTGGCATATTCGCGTAACAAACTTGCGCTGCGTATAAGACTACGGAATCTAAATCTGAAATCCCGATTCTCTATCTTTGATAGTTTCCGAGATATCCACGTTCATATTTACGATTTTTTGAAGTTTGTGGGCGGTTTATGGGCGTCAGGGTGGGCGTGGCAAACTTTTTTTTGGATCAATCGATAGGTATTGATGAGAACATTACATTTTAGTTAAAATTTATTCTAGCATCAAAACTGTAGGAGCCACAGTTTTGGGCGGTTTGTGGGCGTTAGAGTGGGCGTGGCACTCTACTGAAACAAACTTGCGCTGCGTAAGAAGCTCAGGAATCTGCACGCCAAATCTCAATAGCCTAGCTCCCATAGTTTCCGAGATCTCAGCGTTCATCCGGACAGACAGACAGACAGACGGACATGGCTAGATCGACTCGGCTAGTGATCCTGATCAAGAATATATACACTTTATGGGGTCGGAAACGCTTCCTTCTGCCTGTTACATACTTTCCGACGAAACTAGTATACCTGTTCATACCCAAAGGTACTCAACATGACCACACCCAACAAATCAAGCAGTAGCCAAGTTGGGAACAGTACCAGGCGCTCAGTAGCACCCACTGCATATGAGAATGGCTGATCAGCATAGTATATGTCTAACTAACTCACCGTCTCACCGACTCAACGGCACACTGACCGGCCAATGCAGTCAGCACATTTTGCAGTGTCAGCCAACTACGCAAAGTCAACTACGCAAACTGCTACCATAATCATAATTCCCTAACCTACTTTAGAATATAGCCTACTTCACTAATCATTACACTTAACTTCCGTGGTCCAAGTAGTATATAAACATGTACCAAATGAAGAATAAATCAGTTATCAACACACCTCTTAACTCCGAGGTTCTACTTCCAACATCTGGGAATAGGGCTCGTAATACACTATCGCCTGTGGTCCGGCATCACAGTAACCATCGTTACCATTGCCGCGACGCGATCGTCCTGCCATCAAAGCGTCCCCGTGCCAGCGACAAGTGCTCATTACCCCCTTGTCCCGCGGTGTGACCCGAAAGTGTCTACTTCGGTTAGGCACAAACAATACCCTTTTACTCTACGAGTAACGGGTATAAAAACCACTTCCACACACTAGCCAACACCCATTGGCAAAACGCACCAGAGTGTCTTATCTCTCACCAGACATGGCCTGTGATAAACAATAAAAAAAAACTTGTGAACTACTCAAATTCAACCGCACAGAGTGTGGTATGCTGATTCGAGCTCTTACAGGCCACTGGCTCGTTGGCACAGAAGCCGGCAGGCTAAAAGCCCCAAAAAATTACTTCTGTAGAAGCTGCAGGGATTAAGAAGAAGAATAAACGGTAGAACACCTTCTCTGCTTCTGTCCAGCCCTATGCAGACTCAGAATGAAACACTAAGGAAACCCCTTCATCGACGATCATACCGAAATATCGGGGACTATTCTGAAAAACATAGGTGCTTTTATTAAATCTTCCGGGTGGAAGACATGCTGATCAGCTAAACACCGGTTGAAACATTTAGGTTACGGGACCCTAGAGAAGGAAAAGAACGAGACCATGCGGTATCACAATAGAGGTCTAAGTGTGTCCCCTGATTTCAAAGGAAAGTTAAATTAAGAATAGGGATTAGTAAGCGGGTATTTGGGGATTATCTGCGGTGAATATTTAATCATTTATTTATATTTATTATTTATTTATATTTATTATTTATTTATATTTGTTTGTTATTTATATATATATTTATAATTACAAGTTGGCAGTTTATTTAGGTTAGGTTAGGTTAGAGTAGCTGCCAAATCATTGACACACTTAGTCCTTAAATGGTCCATTGTGGTACCGCGTGGATCTGTATCCCCTTTCTTAAAAATCTGCTGCTATTATTGCAGCTGGCTTAGCATAATTCCCATCCGGTTGCTTTAATGAATTTTATTATTCGTTTTAGGCTTATGTTCGCTAGTTCAGATAGACTGCTCATGAAGGGATTCCCTAAGTGGTACAGTATAGATCTGCTCAGGGCCGGGCAGGAACAGAACAGGTGTTCCACCGTTTCCTCTTCCTCCTCGTCCCTGCAGCTTCTGCAGAAATCGTTTCGGGGCGCGCCCAATCTGCTTGCGTGTGTGCCAACCAACCAGTGGCCTGTTAACACTCGTATTACCATTCCGCACTCGGTACGGTTTAGTCTTAATAGTTCCGAAGTTCTCTTCGCGTCGATGATTGGCCATGTCTGGCGAGAGATGCGACAGTGCTTAACATGTGTCCATGCTAGGCTCGCAAGTTTCTTATATTGGTTTCTAATGTTGAGCTTGCAGGTGGCCATCGGCATACCAATGTTCTCCTTGTCCGGAAGGAGAGGAACGGTAGTGCCATGCCTGGCCAGCTCATCTGCAATACAATTGCCTGTAATGTTCCGGTGACCCGGGGCCCATATCAGGTAAATTTTAAACTGCAGAGCCATCTCGTGCAGAGATTTGCGGCAGTTTGATATGGTGTGGGAGTTTGTATTGGTCGAGATAATCGACCTGATAGCCGCCTGACTATCACTATAGATGTTAATCAGTTTATTCTGACAGTTTGCGTCGTTCAGAAGCATCAAAGCTTCAATTATGGCAAATACTTCCGCCTGGAAGACGCTACAGTGATCCGGAAGTCTGAAGGATTTCCTGATATTAAGTTGTTCGGAGTATATACCTCCTCCGACTTGATTATTTAATTTTGAGCCGTCAGTGTAGAAATTGACTGCCTCTGTAGGGCCCGGCTGGCCTTGTTCCCAGTCTTCTCTGGTTGGGAGCAATGCTTCAAAGGGGGTGTGGATGTATTCAATAGGTTTACATAGATCTGTACTGGGTGGGATCATTGTGTCTTGCTGGAGTATCCTGGCATGATCGTATATTTGGGGTTTCCACTGCCCTAAGTCCCTCATCCGAACCGCAGCTATCTTAGCTCGTTCCATGCCGGCTGAGTCCAGACTTGGAAGGTTCAGAATAGCATTTAGCGCCTCGTTGGGGGTGGTGCGAAGGGCTCCGCTTATGCATAAGGATGCCATTCGTTGTACCTTGTTTAGGTTTGTTGTGGTTGTCTGCTTCATTAGCGCGGGCCACCATATTGACACTCCTTAGAGCAGAATAGGCTTAACTATCGCTGTGTGTATCCAGTTGACGATTTTTGGGGACATGCCCCATTTCTTTCCGATGGCCTTTTTGCAGGAGTAGAGGGCAATTGTTGCCTTCCTCGTTCTCTCTTGGCTGTTTAGTCTCCATGTTAGACGCTTATCTAATACTAACCCCAAATACCTGGCGTTGTCACTGAAGGAGAGAGAGCAGTTATTTTTTAATTTATTATTTATTATTATTTTATTACTATATTATTATTATTATTTTATTATTATTATTTAATTTATTTAATTTAATTTTAAACTAGTTACAATATTATTTTTATGTTGGAAGAACACCGACTTGCTATTAACAAATCTCAAACTGAACTCGCTTCTTATCATAAACTTCTTCGACGATCATACCTCGGTCTTGAGCTTTAGAGACTTATGAGCGGACTTAGCCTTCTTTGAGTGAGTTTTCTAATTGCCCTTTGGATTATTGATTGATAATGCACCGGCGGCTCAATCCAAATTTGTAGTCTAGATCTCTGGGTCTTCTTTCACATGGTAATTTTCCATTAAGGGTCCAAAAGTGTGGGAACGAGTTGATAGTGTAACTGGATTCGTTCTGGATGCTTAGTCTAGACTTTGGGCGCATTTGCGATTAGATACAGGCTGGTCGGAGTAATACGGTTGTCTGAATGTGTGTGTGTGTGTGGGTGAGTGGACATTTGCGTATAACTATGTGGCGCTATGGATATGTCACTATATTTATTTAATTACTGTTTATTGTTTGTGGTAGGCAATTTTTGGCTTGTTTAGTTTTGTTTTCATAGGCGTTAGGTGTGAGGATCATTTTTGCAAAACATGCCAAAAGATAGCGAAGTAGGGAGCAAGCACGGATATGGGCTTCGTTTGGTGGTTCCTTCAGCATGGGAAAACGAGGCTTTGTGGTTCTTGGAAGACGATGGCGCTGCCGGGTCTGGGCCACCACGGATATCGGTGGGACTCCGCAAGGCCGTTTGCGGTGTGTGGACTTTGAGGACACTGGCGCTGCCAGAGGCCAGCTCTCGCTTAAAAAAAACACTGTCAGAGCGAGAGTTGGTAAAAATTATCAAAAACGGCTTGAAAGACGGCTTGTTTCTCACGTTTGAAGAGGACGGTCTGGGAAAAACACACGATCGCGCTTATTGAAGGAGCTAATGTCTTCAAGGATTGACCGTATCCCATGTCGCCCCGGGAACCAGATGGTGGTCGAGGATGAGGTGGACAAGATGTTGGCTCTCGAAGTCATCGAGGAGAGCAAGAGCCCGTGGAGCAACAGGCCGACGGTAGTGTCCAGACCTGGAAAAGATCGGTTTCGGATTGCGCGATCTGACCATTAAAGATGCTTACCCACTGCCTAGTATCGATGGCATACTATCTAGAATCGACCAAACGTACTACATTTCCAGTTGAAGTTCGCATTCTGGCAGATCGAATTGGATTCGAAATAGGAATTGAGGGCCTTTACAGTTCCTGGTCGGCCTCTCTACCAATTTTGGGTGATGCCTTTCGGCCTCTGCAACGCGGCGCAGCGGTTGGTTAGGCTTATGGATCGAGTAAACCCAGCCGCTCCAATGTCTGCGTCTATTTAGATGATCTGCTAATACTGGCTACATATATCCAGACGCATCAAAAGTAGCTTCGCCGAGTCGCAGATACCTGAAAGCAGCGGGATTGACAAAAGGTATGGCTAAGTCAATGTTTTCCTTAAAATCAACTACGGATGGATCCAGGACGAGTAGCAGCGATCAAAAGGATGCAAGAGCCAAGGACCATGATGAAGGTGAGAGCGTTCCTCGGTACTGCTGGATGGTACCGCCGGTTTATAAAAAACTTCGAAACGTTGGCTGCTCCGCTCACTGAATAGCTAAAGAAAACTGGTAACTCAAAGTTTTCTTTGAGTCCAGAGGCCTTGAAGTCCTGGAAGATGGTGCTAACAACAGCACCAGTCCATTTTTCATTCAGTGCGTTGCGTCCCACGTTGGACTCGGGGCTTTTCCAGCAAGACGACGACGGATAGAAACAGCCGATTGCGGCAAAGGTGAATAAACATAAGGTGAACTACACCGTAACCGAGAAAGGGTGTCTCGCCGCTCTTCTGGCTATTCGCAAGTTCCGGCCGTAGGTCGAAGGGATGCCATTCACCTGCACCACGGATCACTCGAGCTTGAAGTGGCTCATGTCCATGAAATATCTTTCGGGACGGTTGTATTGGTGGTAACTGCAGCTTCAAGGATTTTAACATCGAGCACCGAAAACGAAGCGTGGCAGACACCCTATCATGGTGCTTGGAATCCGACGGAGTTGTTGGGTTTCGAAACTACCGAGTTCACAAGGGAAGAATACCGGGAGTTAGTGAAGGATGTGGAACAGAATATGGCAAACTTACCAGACTTTTAGATCGAGGATGGTCTCAACTTCAAGAGAGTCTCTCCAACGAATCTTGATGAGGAGGTAAAAGTGACCGAGTGGAAACTGTGGGTTCCGCGAAGTCTGAACCACAGCATAATTGAGCGTGGACGGACCCAACAGAAGCTCATGGCGGAATGGAAAAGACTATGGAAATCTTGCAGAGGCACTTCTACTGGCCAGGCATGGTAACCCAAGTCCGCGAGTTCATGCGGGGATGCGAAGTGTGCAAGGAGTTGAAGGCTCTTAATTTCCGGATGCATTTCGGGATCGGAGAAAGAGAACAGCCGTTTCAGAAGCAGTACATCGACTTCCTTGGGAAATATCCGAGGTCGGAGAAAGGTCATGTCTGGATTTCTATCGTGGTGAATCACTTCTTCGAATTCACTTTCTTATAGACAATGAACGAGATTAGCGCCTCGAACGTAGTACATTTCCTCATTCATGAGGAATTTTACAAATGCGGCTTTCCGGAAGTAATACACTGTTCGGCAGTTCATGTCCAAGATATTCGAGGAAGCGGTAGAGAGTTTCGGGATCACTCACCTTAAGACTCCGACTTACTCTCCACAGAGCAACGCAGCGGAACGGGTCAATCGAAGCGTGTTGGCAGCATTCCGGGGTCTTTTGGATGGCGACCAATGGGACTGGGATGCTTATCTTCCAGAGATTCAGGTAGCTCTTCGCAACGCGATTCACTCGGCCACAGGAGAAGCGCCCTTCCTCACGGTTTTCGGACATCACATGTCCCTGAACGGAGCCAATGACGAGTTGGCGAGGAAGTTGAAGTCCTTGTGCGACCATGAGACGTCTGGGATGTAGACGGCGGACAAATTCCGTGTGATCCAGCAGAAAGTCGGAAAGAATCCAGAGACAGCGTTTGAGAGAAGCCGCCAACGGTATGATCAACGGGCTCGAACCTTCTTGGTCAAGCCAGGTCAGGAAGTATACCCCGCAACTTCGGTCTCAGTGACTTTGGCAAGTCGTTCAACGCTAAGTTCGCCATGAAGTTCCTAAAAGCTCGAGTGGTGAATGCGGTCGGCAACAACGCCTACGAGCTGGAAGACTTACAAACGTCGTCTGTACACGCCAAAGACATCCGTCTGTAATCTGAAAGGGGCACAAAGTTAACAAGGGGCAAATTACAACAATGTTGTCATACTTTCCGGTAAGCGTGGGTCCCGCGTTGATTATCGTTTAGAACCGTTGGATGGCAGACTAGGTTCCATCAGAAAAGGATTTCAATGCTCAGAATGATTTCGTCGAGTGGCTTCAGACCGGGTGGCGTCTCTCTAAGTCCTTGGGTGGTGTTGTATTTTAAGTTGGAACCGGCTGGAAGTAAACCGATATTGGGACAGACAGATTATCGATAGCGTAGGCAGGGTTACCCATATAACGGTGGCGCCCGTATTGTTGGTCATAAGGCAATATAGCTATTTAAATGAATCCCGGTTCGCTCTTTTGAATTTTCTTAAATAGGTCTCGATCGTAAAATGACCCACAATTGAGAGCACCAGGCTTAGAAAGTAGCGAAGACTTTCAAGTCAGTCACAGCCATATGACATATGCAGTGGGATTTCGAATCAAGTGTTTGTGCCTAAAACTGAGTTTAAGTAGTAAGTGGTAGAAAATCATTGGTTAGGGTGGTAGCTTATTTTTTTATTGATGTGTAATAACTGTAGGGCAATCGGGATATTCATTCGGGAGCTTTACGATGTATGCGACGTAGTTTCGCCTTACCTACGATACCTACGCGATTTGGCTGCATGCAACATGTGTGCGTTCGGCCCGCTTAGAAGTCCTTAAACCAGCACTAATCGCCTTCCTCATTCGCCGCCACTGCCATTCAACATTCCCCGGTGAGTTCGTTCTGGGCTATTACGATCTACTCACTTTGGGAAACATCAGCGCCTCCAAATCGCACGGCGGTGAGAGGCCCCCAATTTGGAGTCGGACGTCCGAACTTTGGACTGGCCGTCCATCAGCTCACCTTAGTGCGCCAGTACTTTCGTGGACCTTATTTGACGATGGCCTCCGGCCATTCGGCCCGGGCTATATTTGCCCTCCAAGTCTGTCCCAGAAGTGGCTCCAACACCCACAAACCGCCCAAAACTGTGACTTCTTCAGTTTTGATGATAGAAAATTTTTTTTTTGCTGAAATATATTGCTTTTACCAATACCTATCGTTTGTCAAAAAAAAAAGATTGCCACGCCTACTCTAACGCCCATAGAACTTAAAACTGTCTTCCGCCCACGTAACCATATATGGAGAACGCGGGTAGGTGGCGCATTTCAATCTCGCTTTCCTGCTTGCATATCTCCATTTCCCTTTGGTCCCTTTAAGTGAGTAACGGGTATCTGATAGTCGAGTAACTCGAGAGCAGTAGTGGTCCTCGTTGTTTGCCTATAAGAAAGGTCGCGAGTATAAGTTTTTAGTGGTATAGATTACAGCGCATATTACGTACTATTTTGCCTGTCCCTTCTTTTCCCCAGGAGCTCCTCAGGATTAGGTGACCAGACACGAGCGCATCGCGTGTTTCCCTTGTTGTGCGCCGTGTTTTCATGCGAGCTCTACCAATTATGAATGGTGAAGCATATTTTTCCGCGGCGCCTGTAGCCTTTTTCAGTGGGTAACCCATTCACCGCTTTGACGGCGTAAATTAAAGACGGCGGCCAAGTTTTGGTCTTGAAGGCTAAAGATTGATAAATCGGTTAGTAGGAGTAAAAATTAATCATTTACTTACCTTGTTAATTAAATGTCTGTTAAGCCCAAAATGTGTGACGGAGTTGTTCCAGTGGGGGAGATTGAGCGGCCGTAGACCTCCAAGACGTCACTCGGGGCACCAATGGGTGCGCTGCGATAACAATATCTAATAAATTGGTTTTGTTAACCTTTTTGCTGTTATAGATGTGTTTTATTGTAACTATCGTGAGCCGGATAGTTATCGATATCAATGTTGGGGAACTGTTGGGACAATGGGAGTATACCGCCCCGAGAAATTCCGAAGTTGGTTTGTGCTGTCCTGGGTAAAAGCATAGCAGTTCCGTAACATAATGGCGGCCCATTAAAAAACATAAAGTATCGAGACGATGGCATCTCGCGTAATTCTTTTTTTCCTTTCTTGCAGCTTGCTGGGCAACGGAAAGTTGCGTGCAAATGCATCGGATATGGTTGGTCTGGGGGCAGGATAGTAAGAAGGCAGGAGTGTACAGGAACCTGAGTAGGTCAGGAGGCTTGCCCATGAGAGGAGCCAAATTGCTCCGGGTCACAGATCGCAAATGTTGGGTGACCTGTGGGGGCATCTTGGCCCAGAAGGGAGAAGATTTGCACCCGTAGAAGGCGAAACATTTGCGATAAAATCTGTGATGAAAAACTCTGATAGATTCGGTAGGGTTCGTTGTTATTTATATAATTTAAAGTAATAGTTTTGTATTCTGTTTTGTTAATATAGTTTTTTTTTGTTTCAGTAGGTTTTGATTCTTGGTTTATCGTGGGTGAATTTGATTTTTCATCTCGGTGCTAAGCTTAATTGTGTGATCCGGGAAGGACTCTTGCGATCACTGTGACCTGGGAACGAAAACACTCGCGCGAAACAAATCCTACAAAACTCAACGAGCGGCCGATGTCCCTAACTGGCGACTATCAACCTGATTCGTTGATAGCCAGTCCAGTTGACGAACGGGTGTGGGTAGGGACAGATGAAGGAAACAAAATCGCTTTGAAGTTTTCGGCACGGAGTCCACCGGCGGGACAGGTTCCATCTCCCCTGATTTCAACCGAAAAGGAAAGTTAAATAAAGAATTGGGTTGAATAAGTGGGAATTTGGGGAGGATCTTTGTGGAATATTTATTGATTTATTTATATTCATTATTTTTTTATTTATATATTATATATTTATTATTTATTTATTATTTATTTATTTATATATATATAATTACAAGTTTGCACCATAGGTTGAAGCGAACTGTTTTTGTTGTCTGCTCGCTACGACATTCGTGTGGCTAGCTCAGAAGGTTGTGTGTTCGTCCCACCAATTTTTTATGACGTGAGTGCCCCGTAGATCAGTGAGAAAACACAGGCTTCGAATGGTATCAGTGGGATTTATTCTTGTGGTATTAGTACATCGGGTGTGTGGCTGGGCTGGCTTCGGTATCTCCTTGCTCAGGTTCTGCCGGCTGCTAGTGCTCCTCGTCCTGGCTTGTCAACGCGTTGACTCAACGTCCGCTGGCTCATGTGTCTCGGGAC